CTTACAAGTTTAAATGGAGGAGCAATTTCAGCTAAAGGAGTTATGTCATTGGACATAACTATTGGGACAACTACTAGGACCACAGTCTTTTTCGTGATAGATGGTCCTACCGGTTACAATGTATTATTAGGAAGGGATTGGATACATGGAAGTCACTACATACCTTCATCACTCCATCAATGCTTTGTTTTCTGGAATGATAAGGACGAAGCAGAAGTAGTGCATGCAGATCATAGACCTTTTGTCGCAGAAGCAAACTCTGTAGAAAGGTTCATGTACGAGGAAAATTATGGATCTGTAAGAGTAGTCCAAAATGGAGAAGAAACTCAAATTGTTGTGCAGAGCGAAGAGACATTTTTAGTAGATGAGCTCATTGATATGTTCAGTCAAATGAGGCCAAACATAGTGGCCCTGGAGGAGCCAGTAATTGGCAAGAAAGTAATCAAAGAGTTTTAAATGACCTGTAAGCAACAAAGGTAAATGGCCGATATTCAGGCTTTCAAANAGATTAGCTCACAGTTAAATGAGGCCAAACATAGTGGCCTTGGAGGAGCCAATAAATGGCAAGAAAGTAATCAAAGAGTTTTAAATGACCTGTAAGCAACAAAGGTAAATGGCCGATATTCAGGCTTTCAAAGCCAAATTAATGGCTTTCAATAAAGAATGCAAAGACAAGACGAAAGAAGAAGTAGCTTTGAAAGGATTGAGAGACAAATTGCCAGTGTTTGAGTTGGAACAAAGTATCGGCTGAGAAGTCAACATAGTGGACTGTTTAGAAAAAGAAGTCCCTGTTAGAGACATGGATGATGAAGTAATGAAGATCACCAAGCCTGGATATGCTCAAGCACAAGACCCTCTGGTCAAAGTGAATATTGGCAATGAATGGAAAGATTGCCCAACATTCGTTGGCCAGATGATCAATCAAAATGTTAGTGATAAATTAATTGCTTTATTAAAAGAATACAAAGATTATTTTGCTTGGGAATATGAATAGAAATTCGGTAGAACATAGATTACCAACCAAGCCAAGTTTCAAACCTCATAAACAACCCCCTAGGAATTTTGCTCATAATGTACTTCCCGAGATAAAGAAAGAGCAAGAGCGATTTTTAAAAGAAGGTTTTATTAGAACAGCCAGATACGTTGAGTGGATGACCAATATCGTGCCGGAATTTAATA